AGAACTGCCCCTGTGGGTTCCCAAGAGGGTAACGCTTCCTGGGAGTAGAAAGTCCAGTCTGTCTTCTGAGGGGCGGCTGGCGGTTTCGAACTGCTGGCCTTGCGGATCACAGCCTAACGGCGTAACCACGATGCCCCAGGGCTCCTCTAACAACGGCAGGGATGTTTATATGTGAAAATACGCCATTTCTGCTGAAACACGGCTCAGGTGTTTTGGAGAGGGTTTTTCGGGGTGCCACCACCTTGGACAGCGTCACTGGTGCGGTCTGACCGCCAAGATGGCCCTGCCCGGTGTTCTCACTGTGGCAGTGATGTTGGGAGTGCACACTGTTCTGCAGAGAAAGGTGGCAGCGGCTTCCCTGGCAGGTTTGTGTCACCAGGATGGATCCCTTGTCTTTCCGTCACTTCCTGGCTCTTTCTCGGCAGCGGTTGCAGCCTTTGCCAAACAGAGTGGAGCTGAGAACCCTGGAAGAATGTGGTGTCCAAGCCACCGACCCCTTTCCTTCTGACTTGCTCATGTGGCCCAGGGGGCTTGGAGTGTGTGGTGGGGGCATTGCAGCTGCCACCAGACTGAACTCAACACTAAATCAATGTGTTAGTCCAGGTTGACTAGAGAAATGAATCCAGAGACACTCATATGTATGTAATAGAGAACTTCATATCAAAGAGCAATTGAATATTGAGAAAACATCGCAGCCCAGTCCAGATCAAGTCCATAAGTCCAATATTAGCCCATATGTCCAACACCCATCTATAAATTCCCCTTCAGACTCACGCAACACATGCAATGACGCAGAATGCAGGAAGATCACAGGTCAGTGGGTGGAAAGTCTTGTGGATGCAGTGGCAGTGGAAGCATCTCAGGACTGGCGTGGATCTCCACGTGGCTCCTCCAGCTCCTGGGCTCAGGCACCATCAGTGTAGCTCCATGTGGTTTGTCAACAGGAATGTGTAGCAGAGAGTGTGGGTCTGGCTTCCAGGGAGCTATTGATGTTCTCAGAGCCTCTACATGAGGTCATCAAGCTGCGACCTGATTGACAGGCTAAACCCCACCCCTTCTCTCTTAAAAGTCTCAAGTTGACACCAGATAATGTCACCACCACAATCCTCAATGCAGCAGGATGCATTTTTGAACTCCAGGCTCTCTCAGCATTCAACAGCCACAAAGGAGGTTACAAACCCAAGCTGTACTTGAGAATCCACAAGGTTGGGTTGGAAAATGAGCCCTGGTGGCCTTGTGGGTTAGGCCTCGGGCTGCTCACCTCAAGGTTAGCAGTTCAAACCCACCAGCCATTCCTCAGGAGGAAGAGGTGGCTGTCTGCTCCCGTGAAGATTTACAATCTCGAAAACTCTGCACAGGGTCACGGTGGGTTGAAATCAAATGATGGTGGTGGGTTTGGGTTTCCTGGGTGCTACCCTCCGTGGCTCATTCTGGGATCTGCCGTGGGGTGCACAGGGTAACAGGCAGAGGTTAGAATGTCAGAGTGTAAGATAGGTGAGGGGGAGCAGAGAGGAAGAGGATATTCAAGCCACCCGGCCAACAAACATGCCCGTGCTCGAAGAGCAGATCTCACAGAGGGGGCTCAGAAAAGTTCTTGGCAATGATTCCATTACCACTGAGTCCTACTTTCCCACGAACTCTCTGAGAGCGCTCCTCAGGGATCCTCTATAAAGCCAAGTCAAACAGCACGGCATCAGCAGTCAGCCTGACACAGTGGGTTAAGCCCTGGGCTGCTCACCAAAAGGTCAACGGTTCAACCCCTCCAGCAGTTCCAAGTTAGAAAGACGAGGCCGTCGGCTTCTGCAGAGACGACAGTCGTGGAACCCATAGAGCTGCTTGGAGTCAGAGTCGGTCGGAGGATGGCGGACTGGGGGTTTTGTTTGGGGTGCATCAGGGTCCCTGGCGGCACAGTGGTTTCACATTCAGCTGCCAACCAAAAGGCTGGGGGTTCAGCAGAAAGACCTAGCAGTCTGTCCCCTCCGGTCCCTGTGGTTAGAAACGGACTCTCCAGCCCCGAACAAGGACAGCAGTTCTCTTACCACAAGCAAACGTCAAGGTTCACAATGGCAGAGAAGACCCGGGGCTAGACCTCCTCAGAGGGATGGTATTTTCACGAAGTCTTGGGGGATGGGTCGGGACACAGCCGGAAGGCACAGGAGCAGACTGGGCGGGGGTTTCTAGGTACCCCAGGACTCTTCCTGGGGTCCTTTGACATGGCTCTTGTCGAGTTGTTTCAAAAAACAGCCAAGCTTGCTGCCATTGTGTCAGTACTGACTCCCAGTGACCCTGGTGGGATGGAGCCAGTGACTGTTGACGGGAGTAAAAAGCCCAGTCTTTCTCCTGCAGAGTTCGGGTGGCTTCACACCTGCCGACCCTGGGCTCACAGCCCAACGCGTGACCACGAGACCAGCAAGGGTCCTGGGCGTCTTCCAGTCAGCCCCATTCACAGCCACCCCATGTATCACAGAACGAGATGCCGCCTGGCCCTACATCATCCTCCCAGTCGCTGATGCTTGATTCCACTGCTGGAGCCACCGTCTCAGTCCACCTCACTGAGCGCCCCCTCCTTTCACTCACCCTCTGCTTCACCAAGCACGCTGTCCTCCTCAGGGACCGGTCCCTCCAGGTGAGACGACGTCTCGCCATCCTGACTTCTAGGAAGCGCTGGTGTGTTTGAGCTCCCAGCAATCCGTGGTGGATTCAGTATGGGTGTCCTTCCCAGACCCATAGGAGCCCTGGTGGTGGAGTGCCTTAGGCGTTGGCTGCTAACCTCAAGGTCAGCAGTTCAAAACCACCAGCCACTCAGCA